GCAGCCCCCACCCTCTGGCTCAGCCCCGGCACATCTGCCACATCTGATAAGGAAGTGGCCCCCCCTGCGCAGGAAGAGTGGAATAATAACCCGGATACGTCTGCTGCGGCTCTATCTCTTTCAGAGATGACCGCTGTTCTAGGCTCCTTGACTGCGAGCCAGGCGAAGGAGGGAGACCGCCCGGCGTGGCCCAGGACCCAGGGGGCAGGCCGGGCTGCAAGGGCCACTCCCCCTGGTACAGAGCCCCTGCCAGCTCTCCGCACTGACCCGCCTGCTCCATCCGCCGGTGGCACCTCTGCCCCCGCCTCTTTGTCGCTGAGCTGGTATCCGTCCTTCAGGGCTCTGGGCAGCACGGCTGTGCCCAGGGTGACAGGCCTCACTCCGTTCGCAGGAGCAGATGGGTCTCAAGCTGTTGATCCTGCGGCCTCCTCTACTGTAATCGTCCTCCACGGTGCCCGTCACACACTGACTGTGCCCAGCGGTGCCCCAGGCCTTCATCAGATGCCTTCTGAGCTGCAGACTGACCAGCGTCATCGCGCCACTGATCCCACTGATGCCACCACAGGGCAACGGCAAAAAACCATGGACACCTTTCCTCGGGGCACAGCTTCCCCTCCTGTAGCCAAGGCCTCTCCCGGTCTTGCGTGTCCCGGTTGCTACCCTTCTGCAACAGAGCCAGCGCGAGATCCGACTGGCCTGAAATCCTTGCTCGAGGGGACTCGGAGAACGACTGATGTGGAGAGCAGAGCTGTCAGCAAGCCGGTCTCTGACTTGGGTATAGAGCGTTACAGCCACACCCCTGGGGCAACCTTCACTGGAACTGACTCGACTGTGAGTTGGCAGGGCGTAACAACGATGGCGTCTCACTCAGTTGCTCTAGAAACCACTGCTACCTCTGTGCAGCTGTCCCCCCGGGGAGGGGCCCACCTCGGGCTCACAGATGCACATTCCATGTTTCCGGTGGATGCTGGGGTTTTATTACATGTGACTGAACCAGAATTTGGCGTGAAAGTGCCCCCGGTGCACAGCACTGTTGCAGACACGGACCAAGGACAAAGAGAGGGGACGTCCAGCACAGGAAACCAAAGCAGTGTGATGATCACAGAGAGAGGGGACGTAGGTGCCAGCTCATCTCCACACAAGGTGGTTACTCTGGTTACCAGAAGCTTGTCTGACGACAAGGGGTATGATGTCTCTTTGAGAGGTGTGTCTGACGAAGATGTCCTGACGCCTGTCTCGACACAGGGGTTCAACCCCAGATCACCTACTGGTAACTCTGTCACAGAGGACCAGAGCGTGTCCTTGGGTCCTGCTGTTCTAGGAGAGACAGTCAGTGCTGATATGGCTGTCTCCCCACGGGCAGGGACAGCATTCTGGGAAGTGGAGACCAGTGTCAACGCAGGGAGCCCTCAGGAGTTATCCCCCACACTGAGGACTCAGTCAGACCGACCCCTGCCCCACTTTGACCAGTTTTCAAGTCCTGCCACTGTGACCCACACAACAGAGCCAGGATCAGTGGGCGGCACAAGCAAGGCTCTTGACCATTCGCCACATCCCCACAGCTCTGTACCACCCCAGGCTGAGACAGGCTTCTCTGGGTCAGCTGACAGATATGGCCTCACCTCTGCAACAGCATTCCCTGAGCCTTTCGCCACCTCCAGAAAGGACACCAATCCAAGCCCATTCTCAGGGAGCTCCTACTCTACCTCACTGCCATCCACGGGCACGGACACTATAGTGGATCGCATAGCAACCAGCCACCCCCCATCTCCATCTTCCTCTTCCTCCATTGAGCCACGGGGGCATTCACCTCTTCCCCAGACAGATTCCTCCCCTCCTTCTCCGAGCGACCCTCCTGCACATGATCCTCGCCCGGAGGCGGAGACGTCAGTCCTGCGAGGCACCATGCCGGTGACCAGCACATGGGAGAGTCCCCTGACGCAGTCGAGACAATGGGGGGCCGTCCCCAGAAGTCCCGAGGGACACTCCCACTTCTCTTCACCTACCCGTGCTATCACGGCTTCTCCCAAAGACCCAACTAACCCAGCGGATCCTGAGAGCTCCAGGCCCACCGGGAAGGGTCTGGATTTGAGCTCTTACACCCCATCAGCGCATCACGGTGTGGCGTCACCTTCTGTTTACGCCAGTCCAGCTGGGGGTGACACTGTCGCTGACTCAGGAGCAAGAGGGAGTCCCATCTTTCCGTTGTCTGCGGCCCCCACCTCAAGGACACCCATTGTACCCGAGACACTCAGCCCCACAGTGTCGGAGGGAAAGAGTGGGAGGAGGTCAGATTCCAGAGGTACTTTTCCAACAAAGGCTTTTAACAGGAACATTAGCCTTCCCTCTTCCTCAGTTCCTACAGCCACTGCGCCTGTGAGGTCCACTGGGCTCATTCCTCACAGGACAACCAACAGAACCTCTTCCGGTCCAGTGCCTACCACATCTTTGAGCACCCGGGCTCATTCTTCTTTAACAACCTCCCGCTCCCCAGCTGTCGTACCCTCTTCTCCTAAGGGGGTATCATCTAGCACCCCTCCAGGACCGTGGCTCACAGACAAAACCCCCAGCACATCCCTTAATCCCAGGGCCGTGGGGAGTAAGGGGAGGGTTTTCATCACAGAGGACCAGCCTCCCGTCATCAAAGGTCAGTCCAAGGACAGCTGCCGCCCCTGTGTGGCGTCATGCCTTCGGCAGCACACGCACACGCACACACGGAGACTCAAGTTTATACCAGGGATGGGGAATCCTGGGCCTGAATGACTGGTGCCTCTGCAGACTTTTATCTTTCCTTGACTCATTCGTCTAAATCGTCTCGTCGCTGCCCGAATGAGACCAATGTAACATTTTCTCTCGGCACCCCAGCAGCGGGGATCTAGAAAACCTGCAGAAACACTGGCTGTCCAGGAACAGGTCCGCCCACCCCTGATTAGACTGTCTCTGCCTTCTTAAAGTGACCCGACTCCTAACGGTGTCTCTGTGTCCGTTGTGTTCTGGTGTAAAAGTCAGTAGTAAAACAGATTTGCATTTATTAGGAGTTAAACTTGAACTCCTTTCAGCTTTTTCATGTGGAACTCTGATTTACATTCACATTTAATTGAATGTAATCACATGTAATTCACATTTACATGTGACTTTTAGTCAATCAAAACCTGGATCTTTCAGTAAATGGAAAATCCTGTATTGCATATTTACAAGTATTTGTGTTGGTATGTGCACGTGTGAGAATGAAGCACTTTCTCATTTTCTGATGTCCAGAAGAAATAGTCCAAGTCCGTCTGCTGATTGTGCTGGAGAGGGAGTCAGGGGGAGACAAGGGTCCCCCGAAATCTCTGCACCCTGAAGACCTGGAGCAGGATGCAGTCAAACAGGTAAAGCACTGACAATGTTATCCACAGCCAAGAGAAGCTCTTTGAATAGATGATTATACGCTTTATGTAAATACATATTTCGAGACCACTCAAAGGTGTTGTTTGTTTGGAATGATGTGGGTGGGGGTGGGGGGGAGGGGGCTAATCAGAGCCACTGTCTCCTTCTGTGTGACAAATTACATGGATGCATTAGCAGAGGCAGCGTGCTGCTCTTCTCTCACAGAGCTGCTGTTGTTCTGCAGGTGGAACCGTTTCTCCAGTCTCTGTCTGGATATCATGGTGTGCAGGCCTCCGTGACCAGGTACGGAGAGCATTGCGTGCGTCTGTGTTTATGTGTCTCGTCTCTGTATTTCTGTCATGTACTCTAGATACTCTAGTGCATGTGTATATACAGTATGTCAGCGCTGTTAAACTTGGATCTGGGTTTTTTATTTTTGGTGTGTAGGTATTTTTCCCAGCAGAAGAAAATCTGTTCTTCTGGTGGATGAGATCTCTAGCCCATCTTCTGTCCTTGCTCTCTGTAATTCCTCTGCCTGACGCTGTGTCCCTTGCCCACCCCTCTCGCTCTCTCTCATCCACCGCAGGACAGCAGAGGTGCAGTGTGATGCCCAGTTTGGCACTGGGTCAGCACTGTCCTGGCTGGGGCGCCCAGGGTGGCTGTTGAACAGCACGGGTCTGGGTGAGGCAGTAAGGCGTGGGCTGTACGTCAGTGGGGACAGGGTCCGCAGCATCACTGTCGGAGGTGAGTGTGGCAGGGTGCCACGGGACGTGTGTATTCTTGCTCTAGGGGAGATCTGACCTGCTCATCTGAGCTTTTTGTCTTGTGCAGATGTTTGAATAAAATGGGAATCCATGTGTTTTTAATGCATGTTTTTTCCAGTCTATTTTTATATACTTCATATACCTGTCGATCTACAGTCACTGTGTTCTGTAATAGCAGGGATGTCAAGTCTCACACTTTGGCCTTGAGGTTGACACTGGAGCTGTGCATGTTTCTCTGAAACACAGCCAGGCCTTAACATCTCTATAACTGACTTGTGTGTCTAAGGGTGCGATCTGTATGCCCCAGCTTAAAGGGAGGGTAACAGCAGTATGTGGTTGGACTGATTATTGCTCAGGCATAGCCAGCCCAGCTTCTGGAGAACCACAGTCCAGCAGGTTTTCTGGTCACCGTTAAACTCCCCCACACACCTGGAGCAATTTAATCTTAACCACTTCAGCAAGTGACTAGTTCAGTTAAGCACAATAGAGATCATAAGAACTAAAGATTGCAACACACTCTGCACACACTGGAGGACGGCGGGTGACTGATCCTTACTTCAGCTTTAATAACACGTGGTCCATTGCTGATTGAAAGTGTGACATGTGAGATTGGTCATCTCTCTTCTAGCGGAGGAAGGAAAGTTAGAAAAATGTTCCAGAATCAGTGGATGCACAGCGATGAGTGTGAAACACATGGCTGTTGTCAGCCGGAGTTGTTTTGCTGTGCGTGGCGGGGCTGGGAGTGCGCTGCGTTGACAGTTTCACACAGTAGACGTTGAGATAAGCTGGTGGCTTGTGGCCCCTGGACCTCAGCCGCTTCCTCCTCCTGACTGCAGGACAGCTCTGGCCCCACCCTCCGGTTCTGTGAGCATCTCTTTCCTCTGTCTCGGGCTTTCTTCCTACACCCTCTCTCAACACCTCCGCTGGAATCGTAATGTGGATCCTGGTGGCCTCCCCACTTACAGGTCAGGATCTGGCTGCTCCAGAGTTCTCCAGTGGAGAGGTGTGGAAAGGTCTCACTGCCTAGATAATACTGTTATTCTTCTCTTGCTCTGTCTCACTGTGTGAAACTGAAATTTAAAATTGGCTTTGATGACAACCCCATTCGTTGTCTTGCCAACATGCTCAGTGCCCCCACCGATCTGCACTGTCCTACCCTGACAGGATAAAGATGATGGGTCTTTACTTAAACTAGGGTGAAGTGCTTTCAAACCAAGGACAAGAAGCTTTCATTAATGCAAAGGGCTGGTGGGAGTCAGGAACAAGTTGCCCAGCTATGTTGTCTGATGTGTGTCATGATGATACCCTGACTTCTTTCAAGAAACAACTGGAGGAGATCCTCAGACCCATTAGCTCTTAAAGCCTAATGAGCTATGTGGGCTGAATGTCCTCCTCTCATTTGCACTCATCTCACCCCTTCGTCTCTCTCTGCTCGTGATCGGTAGCGGTCAGATTAATTTGCCAAGTAGGCGGCTGTCACTGGTGCTCCAATTAGTCTGCACTCACCTTTGTTTTGTTTCTCGTCCATAAAGAACATATCCTGCTGGCCTTTCATCAAGGACTGAATCAAGCTCAGGTTTGCGGTGTAGTGTCTGTGTTTGTTGCTGATTCTCTCCCTTCCCCCCCCCACCAACACAGAGCTGCAGTCTGATCTGTGCACCTGGCTGTTCCAGTGCCCACCAGGGTTCCAGTGCCAGCCGGCTGGATTGGGCAACGCCAGCTGCTCCTCGCTGTGCCACACAGACTACTGCAAGCACAGCGGCATCTGCACCCACCACAGTGGTCAGCAGCCGGCGTGCCAGTGAGTAACACAGGGCACTCTGCTGTGATTGTGCGTCAGCGGTTGTGTAGCTGCAGACATAAAAGAAAATGACATCCGGTACCTGAAATAGGGGGTCAAGAATTAAATGGGTTTGGGGAAACTCATGCTTTTTGACTAGACTTTTTTTTGTCAATGCTGAGATTTTTTTCCAGCTAGTGAAAATGTCATAGCGAAGTCATTCAACCAAGAAATTCATCACACATGCCTGCAACTTTATGGTCCTATAAAAGCACTGGAACCCTGTTATGTTAACTCAATTCCTAGAATATTTTGGCTACAACTTGCTGGGATCCACGAGTGTTGAATAAACCTGAAAAAGGCTGGTTTCCCGGGTGGCCGAACCAGTGAAGTATGTGTTCGGGGTGCAGGTTGAGCCCTCTAGTCCAGACCCTGATGGGGCCGGTCTGGCTGTAACTAGGAATCCAGCAGGAGCAAGAGCCTGTGTGCATTACAGTGAATAAACTGCTCTATGACCTTGTTTCTGCTGCAGGCGGGGGGGAGTGTAGAGGCTGTGTCTCCCCGGCTCACCCCTGCCCCTGTCCCGCAGGTGCCCAGTAGGGGAGGATTTCTGGTTCATGGGCCGGAGGTGCGACTACAGGATGACGCGGCAGAGGCTGGTGGGCATTGCCCTGGGGGCGCTGCTGTCCTTGGCGGGGCTCATGGCCGCCCTCTCCTGCCTGGCGCTCCGGCGCTTCAAGGCCATGCTGATCCGGGCCAAGGTGGACCAGACCCGCAGCAGGTAGGAGCGCGGTCCGCGTGGCCCAGAGGCCGTGCCAGCGGAAACGGAGGGGGAGAGGAGCTGACACCCTAGTGAGGCAGGGAGAGGAGCTCTTAACCCACAGCCCCCCGAAGACAGGCTAGCGCCCCGGGGTTGGCTGATAGAGAGGGATGGTCAGCAGAGGCATCTACACCCAGAGATCCTACAACCAGCTAGAGGTTCACTCAAGCGCCCGACACGCGAGCAGGTCAGGAAGAGCATGGAGAGGGGAGGATCATGATCCAAACTCGACACTCGCCCCTTTCCCAGGGCCTGTCTGAGTGGCCAGATTTCTATCTGTGTAAAACTGTATGCTCTGTTTGATTTGTTTTTTACTTTTAATGTCTTTATCACTGTACTGCATCCTGGGGTTTGGGTTGACGACGATGATGATGATGATGATGATGATATTGTGTTGCACAGTGAGGGGGCCTCCTGTGGCTAGGCAGTCACCTAGTTCACCTTCAGCCTGCGGTGGGCTGCTAGTGGTATTATGGCTGCTGACAATACAAGATAAATAAATGATTATTAGCTCAGTTTGCACAGGGGGGCACTCTAAGTGCCCCATCTTGTTAGCCCTTTGGCTGTATATAATAACTTTCATCTGGAATGAGGAAGAAAAGGGGGGCTGAGGGAGAGGGGCTTCTCTCCAGAATTCATGCATCCTGCCTCTGCTCATCCCCCGCTTCCTGTGTCCGAGACACAGCGTGACACACACACAGCAGGAAGGAACAGGCAGACAGGGACCCCAGCACTCTCCCGCCCTCTCCTGCCCTCTGGAGATACGGCCCAGCACTTCGCCTACCTCGCAGGAGAGGCAGCGAGAGCCCAACCCACTCTCCCCTGACACTTCCGGCTCTCGCAAGCAGCTTCACAGGAGCGGGTGGGAAGGAATTAGAGGGCTTTATAGCTGGAAACGTATTTGAGGAGTCCTCAATTTTTTCCCTGGCCTTTACCAGTAATAATCCCCATCTCTGAACTGGCCTCATCACTCTGCTCTCCTCCCCACTGATAGCTGATGGGTGGTGGGCCTACTGTTTCCACTTGTGGGAGGTGGGGTGTCATGTTATTCTTAGATATTCTTCTGCCTGTACACCTGATAAATTTGTGACTTTGCAGAGCACTTTGATATAGGATCAGTGTAAACAAGCTGTGTGAATTAAGCTCATTGCAGACATGCATGCCTGGACCTGTGCTGTGTGGTGTCCAGAGACCTGCAGTGCTTAAAGTGTTTTATGCTGTAGTTACCGCAGGTTCAGCCGTTTCGATGACCTGTCGGGCCGGTTCTGGGCTCAGTCCTGGCCTGGCTCAGCTGCAGACTCCCTGGACAACCCGGCTTTCAGCCGCTCCGACGAGCTGCTGCACCTGCGGGCGCTTGATCGCACCTGCTGCTACCACGACGACTCCCTCTCCATCAGCTCCACCTACCCCGGCAGCGGGGCTCACCTGAACACCGTTTACTCACGCAGGTAAGAGGGGGTGCCTCCTGGGACTCGTCCTCTACTGATTTAAAGTTAAACCCCCATTTAAATGGACTTGTTTGCCACAATTTCTTAAAATGAGATCTTTAGCCCTTACAATCTCACTTTTACATAGAGAGAAAAGGTAAATGCCCAAGAGTCTTGATTGACTAATTATTTTATAGTGTCACTCACGCAAAGGCATCCCGAAGGCAGAAAGACTACTGAAATAGGCTTGCTTACACTGCACTACCTGAAGTGCCTAGAGGTTATCATAGGCATCGAAATGCCACACTGCTGCCATCTAATGCAACAGGACTTGCCCACATGCCCTCAGTGGTATCCTGCGGGGGCAGGCGGGGCAGCTGGTGTTTAGGGCGCTGCAAAAACAAACTGGAGCATCCACACAATGGACTGGGTGGGAACCCTTAGAACAACATTCCCATCAAAGCCTAGTCCCTTCTCCAGTGGGTGGAATAGTATTTTCTCTCGCTGTGCTCCCTCCTCCCACCCTTCCCCTGCATGGACAGAGTCAAAGGGCATCTTAACACAGCAGGCCTAGAACAACATTACCACCAACCGCTGGCAGCTGATTACAGCTCCTGTGGAAAACAGCCTTTGTTTTCAGCAGCGTGTGTGTATATCCCAGGCTCTACATCCTTACCTCTTGTTGCAAACCAGCAGCAGCACATGTTCCAGTTAAACGGAAAACCTTCTTACAAGTGTTGTTTGGATCTGGCAAGAGTGAGTGCACTGTGTTGCAATACTTTTTCTGAGGAGTTTCATGGATAGCCAGATTTTGGGGTTATATAAGGTGCTAGGACTTAACTTACATGTTGAAAAGCAGTATTTTTTTAATGTCAGGTAAAGGGAACTAAAGCCCTTTATACACTAAACACTGTAGACTTATACACTGAAGTCCCTCATGCGTGAGAAAGAAGCAATCAGGTTCTGGAACCAGTTGCTGGAAGGCCAAAAGAAAAGGCAGCCAACAGCACCCTCTGGTGGTGAAATGTGGTATTTCTCACAAGGGTAATCTGGCCTTACCTTTTCTAGCAAATAATTCTTGCTTGCAATGCAGGTCTCCTCTGTCACACTGAAAACACTTTGCAAGTACATAAATTTTATGATGCCATGCAATTGTTTTTCTCAAGAGCAACTTGTGTGCATGCTGCAACCCTAGATGTTTCCAAGATTTGAAACGGAGCTTGCTAACATTATCCCTCTGTTTACATTGGCCCTTTTGGCTGTAGCTCCCATTACAATTGGGGCCTAAGCGATGGCAGCATCAACGACTGCATGGCCGACTCGGGGAAGGCCAGCGACCTCTCCGTCTGCAGCTGGCCCATCGAGCCCATTCAGTGGACACCCTTCCCTCTCCTCCACCAGCTGGGCATTCAGAGAGCGGTGAGTCACAAACATCTGCACACAGGGGGACAGGGGGACGAATGGCTCTAACCCAGAGCTCACTAGTGGGAGTGTGACCTGTGCTGCTTCCCAGGGGTCAAGTAAACTCCGCTGTCATGTGTACTGGAGGTGGCGAGAACTTTGTTGAGACGCAGAGATTTCTACTACTGAAATGACAAGTCCCTGTCAACCTCCAGCTCCTCCCAATGGTCTTACTTCTAGTGCGTGTTGAAGCAGACATTAATCAGAGCCCTATTTTCAAGTTTTACAACTGTGATTATAAAAAATGTAGTTGTCCTATAAAATGATTCACTTAAAAATGTGTCAGTTACAAGTAACAGCTTACTGCAATAGCAGCAGGACAGGTCTTACAGACAAGTACAGGTAAAAGCTTCACTGGTCAAGTGCCAGTATTTTTTTCAAGGGTGCTATTACATCCTTTTTCCAACTGTTTCATCCCACTTGGGGTCGCAGGGGAGCTGGAGCCTAGCCAGGGCCTTGCACCCAGTGTTGGCGAGATACACCCTTGATGGGACGCTAGTCTATCACAGGGCAGCCAGACAGACAACTCATTAAGAAATGTCTAGACACTGAGGCCACAGCTGTTGTGGTGAGACATGTGAAGCACACACCCTGCGCTCTCTGGTTTCTTCATTCCATTTTGTTGAGATGCAGTGTGGAATAAATGGAGAAAAGTTAAGTTACCATAGGCTGATATGTTTTTTTGGAACTTTAAATAAGGACCAGGGCTGCAAAGAAACAGTCCAAAGGCTGCTAATACTCACAGGTTGATGTGGACACAGCTGCAGGAAAGCATGAATGTGCCCTAAATTGTGTACTGCAGGTTGAACGGTGAAGTGTGGTGAATAGTTTTCGGTGCTCAAACACTGCATAGTAAAACAAAATATGCCTCTGAAGTGCACAGACAAAATTGGAATATTTACAAAATATTTTATTGGTTTAAATAGCATTTATTCTAACACAGGCCTTCAGGCAACAAAGCCTTACACAGAATAAAATGCAAAATTCAAGGAAAGAAAACAGACATCAACATTGTTACGGTTTTATTGTGGGTTGTACCCGAGTTATACAGCTTCATATTCTGATGCAGAGATCAGCGTGACTTTACAAACAGTTATCAGTCTACAAGTACAGTCAACAAAAGACCTAATGTCTAGTCTACACCATTTTACATATTTAAGAGCACTAAAATTTAAACGCAAGCAATAAAGAAAATAAAATGACAGCATCAGTGGAAACATTCATCACACAATTGACAGTTTCTACCTTGTATTATTCTTTAGTCAAAATTCTTACCAATAAAAATAAGGATTGTCCTTCAAAAAGTGCAGTTCCCCAAGATAAAATTCTCAAATGACCCCAGGAAGACTGTAAAAGGGTGCTTCCGGTTCATTTAAGAACAGTTGGTAATTTAGACTTATTGTTTTCTATACATTGTTTAAACAGTCTACCAAAGCAATGTGCATAACAGCAGAATTGTAAGTGAGCACTTCAAACTTTTCATCTTAAAAAAAAAAAAACAATCCGCAGTATTCCATTTGCTATTCACAGTCCGCTTGGGGGCACCTGTGAACTGTAATATCGCAAAGAAATGCTCTGCTACAGCTGGCCAATTTATTCATTTTCATGTACAACTTTAAGTCATGGCACACGTGTTGTATGAAGTTTTCAATCCCCTTACTGCTCCAGGAAGCCAGGATTGTTTAAAGCAAACACACATGGGCACGGCAGCCTTGTGAACTTCACACTGCATAGAGTTTTCTGTCTTATTCCCCACCCCCATAGTAGAAGTCAAAAAGATTCCAGGCTAATTTTTTTTTTCTTTGTGCTGCTTTTACTAAAGCTTTTTTTAGGGTTTACAAAATGACAAGACAGCAATGCTCACAGTATGAAAAGTCAAATTAGCACATTGTTAAACAGTAGGAACCATTGAAAAGACAAGGGTGCATTAAATTTGCTTATAGTGGACACATTTTAAAAGAATTACATTTACCCATACAAAAGTAGAATGTCTGACCAACCCTAATTCCTCCACTTCTACCTGCCAATACAAAAAGGACTGCAAAGGAACAATGGGGATTGTACATTGCCATTTTCACTTTCCCTCATAGGAGCTGTTTATGCACAGGTGACATTCCCAGCACGCACATTGTTCAGCCTTCACACAAGAAGCAGTCCCCTTTTCCCTCTCCCTACCCCACCCAATCCCATTTGGCATTACAGTAGGCCTTTCACAATGCCCCGTGAGACAGTATTGTCCTACATCAAACAGCTCTTTACCACATTACACAGTAAAGCGGATGAAAACCAGAAGGCAGAATGTTACAAAACAAAACAAAACAAAAAAAAAGACTTTGTAGGCGCCACTGGCTTTTCCCTATTCTGTGTTCATTAGCTCCTCTTGCTATGGAAAAATCAAGTCGCCTGGGGGGGGCTTTTTCAGATCAGTGTTGCTGAAACAACTCAGAACCATGGTCACACAGAGACGCACACCAAAAGCTCACGGGAAAACAAAGATAGCTACCTTGGGCACAGAACAAGTCTACTCACAAAAACAAAGTACCCAAGCCACCTATGCTCAGCACTACATCTACATCTAGATGAGCTGGGGGCATTTTCAATGTTGTGTTACAACTTGCAATAGATAATGCCTCAACCCCACATCTCTATTTCAGAGCAAGACACATCGGCCTCACTCATACTGCGAGGGGATGGAGCTGGTAGACCTGGAGAGAACCTGGACTGCTTAAAGAAAACCACGAGCCCCCGAACAAAACAGCTAAATACAAGTCACGTTACAGTGGACTATCCAAAACGCATCTCAACATCCACAGCATTCCCCTTGCTATTTATAAAGTATACATACCAAGTACAACTTTATTCAGTACTGTATATACACTAAGTGCAAATCCAAGGCTTTTAACTTTAATTTTCATATATTTTTTTAAAAGCAACCTGTATTCTAGTTTGTAACAATATGCGCAACTCAAGTCTGGGGTTAAGCAAATAAATCATATTTGGTAGAATGTACTTAATAATGGTTCAAATACTGGCACTCCACTATTAAGCCTGTGTAATACTCAAGATTTCCTTTGACTAAGGGTTGAATTGTATTCACTCTGGAGAACTTTTCAAAAACACCTTTTTTAAAAATAGCTGCAAGTTCTACCTTTTGAGATAAAGCTAAAACACAAGAATACTACCTAAAAACAAAAGAATTAAGGTCCATGGCTTAGCCTAATGCTGACTTCTTTCTCTTGTTGAAGCTTTTTATCAGTTGTGCATCATTGTAGTAACTAAATCAATATTGTAAATAGTTTGTATATATATAATGTACATTTTTTTTCTGCACGCATTTAACTACCAGTAAAAGATTACATTCACCACTGTTCTAGCCTTCCAGAGCCTCTTCATTACTGAGGCTTGGCATTTCAAAAGACAAACCTGCGTTCAAAAATAAACAACAACAACAACAACAATAAACACGTACTGAGCAGCCAAAACGTCATGATTTATTAATATTGTAAGGAACTTCAGAATTCAACACAACCAAACTGTACACATTACAATCACATTCTATTTGTAAACAGTTAAAAGCCACTTGACTTGTTGCATCTTCGGACACAATTAGAATCAAGGCAATGAAATGTGGGCGACTTTTGCACTGTTATAAAATCTCAACCTTGTTTTGTCTCTTGAACGACCCAACGAGGTTTTTTTTTTTGTTTAGAACACCATTTGTGGCAAGGTGAGAAAAGGTTTTGCAAACAACGTATCTGTAATTACGTCTTAAACATTTAAAACTTTTTTTACAACAACAAAAAAATGATTCTGTAAGCCATGTACCTGGTTACAGTATGCATAGTTACGGATTTCGGCTTTTCTCTTTTTTTAAAGTACAACAGTTAAAGTCACAAAGAGCAAAAAACACTGAGCCACTCATAATGGGACTAAAGGGAAGAAAAACGACAAAGATAGCGATTCAGCAAACCACCTCCACTCACTAATAAAAAGACAGCATTTCAGAAAGCAGTAATGTAGAACATCTCCAGCTTAAAGCAGTTATTTGGCAGAGAAAAACTTACAGAGCTATAAGTAGTTTCAGTGCTAAAAGTTGGATTTTCCTACAAGAAACTACAGGAGTTTCTACTGGGGGAAACTGGGTATATTTCCTGAGAACCATGCTCGTTATTTAGCAGACGAGAGGAATAAGATTAAAAAAAATAAACCAAACATGGCCAAACACTGATCAGTATTCCCAGAGATAGAAAGCTTCGTCTTCATCCTCAATATAATTTCCATCTTTTTTTTTCTTTTGTGTTTTTTTTAGTACTTTTTCTTTTTTATATTTTTTTAACTTTTTTACACTTTATTTTTAAAATGAAGGAAGAGTAAACACTTTTTTTCCTCAAAAAAGTCTGTAAACAAGAGGGCACGACATGGGTGCCTCCTAAACAAAATTGAAAGCCTATTTGAAAGTGCTGTTCCCCCTGGCTTGCAGGCTGGGTTTGCAAGTCACAGCTGTGGCTACAGTTTTTTAGACTGCAGAGCTAAATTCTTTAGTTTTAAACACAAAAAATTGGTGCAATACTTTTTTTTTCTTTTAATATCATCAAATAATCCTAAGTCAGCATTTATATCTTGATCTTAAACTCCACACTACCACAATAAGGTAGACATATATCAAGGCATAGTAGAGCGCACACTTAAGAACATCCTTGAGTAAACAACTACACTGGAACTGTCGGCTCCCTCGATATTGCAGATTATACTGAGAAAAACGACATTCAGTGCAAAGTTAAAAAAAAGCTCATACTCCAACATTGTCAGCAAACAAATGCAATAAAAAGAAAAACAAATTAAAAATTGGAATTCAAATAAACATGATGAAAAAACATTAAATGAGCTCATTTGAAGCAGTTTTTTTTCTCGTATGAAGAGCACTACCTGGAAGTGTAAATATATCCTTTCACATTATAATATTGGCCTGTATGATTCAAGTATTCGAACTGATATGTTTTGGGCTAAAACAAAGTGGAAAAATGTGCAGAAAAAGTAACTTGTTTCCACAGGGTGACCCCGTCTTTTTTTCTTTTTCTTTTTTTTGAAGGTGGAAAAGAAAAGTCCAAACTAGTGCCGTTTGTTTTCTTCTTGTTATTATTTGTTTTTACACGTTGAGGTCACAGTTCTTAAGTCAGAAGGTGAAAGGTGTTTCAGATGGAGTCTCCAGCTCCTGTCAAGTGGTCGACAGGAAGGAAGGAGTTGATGGGGGATGGGCTGCCGATTCCCCGGCCCTCACTGCCACTGGGGTTCCCCCATAGGCTAGTGGAATAGTTAGAAGCACCCCAGAGGGAAGTGCCGTGAAGGTCTCCACTGCCAGCTCCTGACAGCCCAGCACCGTTCCAGTGATTTGGATCATTGCGGTTGGAGAAAGGGTGGGAACTCTCAATGGATCCGATCCGGTTCTGAGAGACACCCAGAGCCTGCCAGCCGGGCGAGGCAGTCATGGACTGGCCTTGTGCAAAGAAACGGCTAATTTCCTCTTCACTAGCAAACTCAGCAAGAATAGTAGTGTTCCCTAAAACGCACCTGAGGATAGAGCATTGTGAAACATCGGTTAATGACGGGAAAGGGAAAGCGAAATAAGGACAAAGGCTTATTCTTGATGTTCGTGGGCTTGAAGGGCTTAAGTCACAACTGTTGAGTTGATCTTGCACCTGTCAAGACTCTCTGCCTAGACCTGTCTAATGTATGTGCATACCGCCAGCTGCCTGATAGGTTAAATGTTGTACCCTGTGATGTGTGACACTGAACTGTGCCCCACACAGCCTACTGCCATGCAACTGTGGAGAAAACAGCTTGACAGCAGCTGACGTTGACTCTTACAGCAGGCAACACTCCGTAATGCAGGTAATATATCAAGTGGGAAATTAATAAGTATGCTTCTCTTTTCCATTAGTCTGAGAATAATCCTAAATCAGCATTTGTCTTGATCTAAAACTCCACAAGCAAATGTGCTGGCAGAGAAACTAACTGGACCAGGAAGCATCCCCAACGTTACGCATTACAAAAAGAACATTTTCGGAAGAGTCATGTGATATCCATGCCATGACCCAACGACAGTGGGAGACACCTGGAGCTCTGGTTTAAAATGGGATGTACTCACATGTGCAGAGATTTTTGTGCCTTGGCTGCCTCCTCCTTTGAACTGTAGCAGACTACAGCATTGCCGTGGGGCAGGTTCAGGTGGAATGTTATCAGTGGACCGTGCTGCATGCACAAAGTTCGCAGAGTGGAGCCATCAATCTGAGCCAAACAAGAACAATGTTACTAAACATGCAAGACCAGGGCCAACATCAGCATACTTCAGAGCCTTTATCTTCCACGAAATCAGAACTTGATTCCATAAAAATGTGACCATCAACACAAATGTAACCTGGTTTTGCACAGTTTCCAAAAGACCTTTTAAGACAACAAGCAAAAAGCTGTTAAAGTAAAACAGACCTTCTTCTGTTTGAACAGACTGAAGGCTGTTTGAGATTATAAGAGCTGTGAAATCAGAAAAGGTCAAATCGAAGGTTTGACCTTTACGACTAAGAGCTATAATACCAACACCAACGCAGGCACATCTGTGGTAGGCAGACCCAAAATGTACATACCTGAGGTGTGAGATTTTTGAGAACAAGCCAATTAGTTGTTCTCCCTGAGCTGTTGTCGCCCCAACTCGAACCTGCGAATAAAAATAAAACTGTGAGCTGCTTTTCCTATCAGACGTGCCAAAGAAGCATTCCATTCCCCAAACCAGGAGACTGTCTTGCAGGTCCCTACAAGCTCAGCTGAGCTCTGGCAGCAAAATAAGTCTTTAATTCTCGAGCCTATACACATCCTTCAAGGGTGGATGCTTGCTTTTTGCTCGTAAATATTACCAAGCAACTGCATAACTATACAAGCAGAACCTGTGCTTTTGAATGCAGGGGTATTCTTCAAATTGAAAGAGCTTTATTGGCAAGACCGATGAATTAACAATATTGGGTTGCAGCTCTATTGAGTTTCCACTCCCAGCAGGATTGGGAGCTGCTCCGATTCTGGCAGATGTGGGAATTCTGGAATCAGATTTAATTTGGGGGAGAATGCTCATCTAATCCCAGAGTACTTCTCGCAGTGCATCTGTCTCCGCTACTCCCTGTGGGGAGCGGCCAGACATGCCAGTCTCCCCCAGTTTCTACAGCCAGGCTGTGAACCCGTCACTGAACCTGCACTTATTTTTGTACTCTACTAACTGGCAGCATAAAATGAGTTGTGACCCAAACATCTTCTGATGCATCAAGACTGTCGCTAAGAGCTGCTTCCCTGGCACTTGCATGCACTCACCGGGGGTGTATCTGGAGTCGGAGCTTCCCCAGCCTCCCCCTAGGCGCAGTGAGCTGTTGTCCCACGACGATGGGGGCTTCTGGCCGGTCAGGCCGGGGGGTGGACGGGACGGAGCGGTGATGCCTTTCGGTGGCAGAGGAACCTTCCACAGCTCATGAGCCAGAGAGGTGTTAGTGACTGGACCAGGAGACCATGTGGATTTGGAGTCACTGTTTCTGGCTGTTGATGGGGAGAACACAAGAGGCCGGATGAGCACTGACCCAGGGAGAGCACTCAAAAACTGGTGCTGATCTGATAAATGGTCTAGACAGGACACAGGTGGTACCCACAAGGATTTCATGAAAGCACGCAGAAAAATGCAATACAAATACTGTCGATACAGTTGCTTCTCGTAGAACAAAATTAACTCAAAAGCATGGATTCTTAAACTTAACCCATCTTTCTGGGGGGAGGCTGCCCCGTGTACTGAAAAAACCCTACAATTCTCCATCGCTGTACATCGGGGATGATTTTTTTGTAGAATCTGGAAGATCTAGATTAAGTAGGTCTTTCGGATCAGCCTTAAATCAATTTGTGCAGACTTGGAAAACAATGAATCTTGAACAATTAACTGGCGCTATTATGGACTAACAAGACAACTGTGGTCTTTGAATGCCATATTAAATCATTCATTAATTCAGATGGAATTATTCCAGGGTGTAGACTTTTTTCCTCATGACCTATAAGGCCTTCTAGAATGTGGCTGTTTATGACCAGGGCTGGCCTGCTGGGCTCCAAATAAGACTCGAGCAGGAAGGACAGATTCTCACCTGCCTTTTCCCCACGCTGCAGCCGACTGGAAGGGTGACCATGACTGATACTGGATCATAGCCCACAGGTTAAGAGCCCACGTTTGAAAGCATTTTTAACCATGAAGCCTCAATCTATTCTACCTAAGACCCCCGCCCATTCTGACACCGACCTGAAGTGCTTTGTGCTGTACTGCTGAGGGAACCACTGTAGTTGGAGGCACGAATGGATGACCAGGCACTAGTTGAAGGCAGCGTGGTGTTTAGAGATGAGGTTGACCCTTCGGGGAGAAGAACGGGGTTAATATTCTGGTCTAACAGGACACCAAATAAACCAAGTTCAAACGAAGTTTAAAAGACACCGACATTAAAAAAAAAATCAAGAAATGTAACTGCATTTATACAGGGACTTATGAAGCAGTGGTCATTGTTGTGGATGCCAAAAACTAAAGCTGCAGAGCCTGCTGCTGAACCTTGAAGAGGGTGCTTCATCCCAGCTGCTCCAACTTGACCCCTGTGCAGACACCAGCATCCCTGGGAGTAACAAAAAATTCTACCATCCCATCCTCGGGGAGTTAGTCTAAATGTGTAAATCAGGATAAGCTCTGGCCCAGTTAGATACTAGACCTCAGGATGAACCTGCTAGCTCTTTTTCCCATATATGAATAGCTATCATGCATTATTGTTGCGCCTATCTGTAATATTCAGTATTTAACACCTTTTTCCCCTCCAAAGAACAGTTTCAAGAAGGAAATCTTTTAAATAAATCCAGAGGAATAATTACACTGTGCTTTTAGTTGGAGTATAGAAGTTTAACAATAGAGATCAAAGCAGACAAAATCTCTATCAAACATTAGCTTGCAGGGCCAAAAATATTCAACATACTTGCTGTTGATACCAGACAGTATATAGTAGGAGTTATCAATGTGCAGGTAATGAGAGCATTGCTATAATGCTATCCTTGGCAGGTTAGGACACGGGATTGGTTGGCATAACTCTATAACACAACCATACAGATAATTAAGACATTAAAGCAAAAAAAGACTACTACTTCCGAGAATAAGCTATAGCTTTGTCTAACATACCATTGTTCCTGTCCCTGAGGTGGTCAACGTCCCGGACAGTATTAATGGAGAGATTATTAATCACACTGCCAGGCGTGACGTAAGGGTCAGTTTCAGGGTCAATGTTTGGATATCCTTTCCAAGGCTCACCAGGGCGAAATTCTTCAAAATAAGGAAAAATAGGTTATAGCTTCTCACTGTAGACCTGTTATACAGCATATGAAGTATAATAGGAAGTTAGGAAGTCCCAACAATGTTTAGATTTACAAACATTAAAAGTACAAGAGTTTTATTCAAAAGCTCAAAGGACTTCACAAATTACCCCACAGGTCCTGCCCAGTAAGGACACCGGGGGCTGTAAAACCTGGTGTTAAAATACCTGGTGGCCAGTTGACATTGCTGGAGCCATGAGGCGATTTGGCACGGTTGGGCCAGCCGTCTCCCACAGAACCAGGAGGGCTGACAGGAGAGTTACTGGTGTTCATGAAGTCATATGGACCAAAGGGGGAATCTTCAAGCCTCAGCCCAGAAGGAATAGCACCTGTAAAAAACAAAACAAAAGTTATGTTCCTTCTATTAAATGTCTGAACTCCTATCAACCTGATCACTATTCTCCACTATCTTCCAATCATAGGGATCTGCACAGAACAACTTTGCCAATGGTCTACGACAGTGAATAAGGCATCAGGGACCAAGCATTATAGTTTAACCGTTATGAAGTATAGCTTTAAGACTTCAGAAAGGGAAAAGGACTACTGTACTCGAGTCAAGAAAATGATAAATTATCCCATCATATCCATTTGGCTCAATTTCTCAATCAATGCTAACTTCTATGCACTTGGGAACTGGGAAACCGCACTGGCAGAAACCCACACAAACATGGGGGGAACATGCAGTTTACACAAGGACAGGCGTCGGGTGTTTCCAGCTGGGTTGATATCGGATTATTGAAAAATGACGTGCATCGCACTGATGATACATACCAGGTTTGCTGGAGTTTTGATCTAGAGATGGGTTAACGGAAATGTCCAAGGCAGTCCATTTCTTCAGCCGGGACTGTGGCTCTTTAAAACTAATACTGCCAATATCCAGGTTGCTTACATTCAAGTTTGAGTTCAAGCCTGCATGGAAGGGTAAACAGAATTGAACTATGAATTTAATAAATGACAGGAGGGCAGCATGTGTTGCCTGGCTTCTTGGAGGTGAGTGGGGGAGACATGGGAGTCAGAAGAGACCCACATTAAACAGCACAGCAGGGGATTGGGGTTCGCCATCACTCCAGGCACATTTCTCTACCTGCATCCACAAACAAATCCTAACTGGCCGGCCTCTGCGCTACAACCCCTTTGAATTCGCTTTCAAAGAAAATCCAGTATAGCAGTGCACCAGAGTGGAGGACATGAAATGCGAAGAATCCCCACCTCTCCCATGATCGGTTCCGGACACAATTTTCTCATTTCTATCCAATCTGTTAATAAAACGGCCAAGCTTCACGTTCAAACGTGAAATGGTGAAATTTACGCTATGTTTCTCGGCTGGCATGCAACATGTCATGCTCTTCATAGTGAGAATTTTAGTGAGTTCTGGTTAAGCAGTTAGGTAAAGACAAGTCTGTACACTACTGGCTGTTGTCTGATAGTTGATCATGACATTCTGCAACACAAAATTTAAGCACCGGACTGGATTTGCTTTGAGAATCCTGCTGATCATCCTTAAATTTATAGAGTAAAACAAGCAATATACTCATTTTAAGCTCTGACAGGTGATGTGATTCACATTTCAAACGATCTATTTTTATATATATATATGTTTTGTTCTGGGTACGTGTGATTTTATTAGCCAGAACAAAACAATATGTAGAATTTCCACCTGTCCTTGTATTCTGTCATTTAGATATAGGTCAGCAAATATGCTGGGCCGCAGGCAATGTGCAAAGCAATGCATAGCAAGTCTATGGTAGGGTGACTGAACAAACTGATAAGAAAGGCTCATCTGGTTGTAAAGCACTCTGTAAAAAGTCTGTCTTGCACTTCTAAAGATATTCAGGTGCTACACGTAAACCAAGGGTACTGGCCTGGTCAAACATGGCAAGCTTTAGCTTTTTTATGGAGTCCTGGTGTGACCACTTTGATTTTACATGTATGCCTTGGTTAAAAGCTTATATGAACACATCTAAGTGCAATAGAAAGTGTGAAAGCCTGGTTCATAAAAGGACCAAGTATTCCATAACCATTATACACAAAAGGCAGCCTATCAGTACCAAAAGGCTTGAGAAAAGGCTTGCACCAGGCAATGTATCAAGTCGCTTTAAGGAACACTTTCATTTTCCCTCCCACCTAAGCTGATCAATGTCACACCATTGATAAAGCAAGACATAACCTCCCCAACCCCACCTTCTTGTAATGAATGCTTTCTGAAGAAATGCAGCAAAGGATGGATGCAGGGAGCTGGATAGGTAGGTTAAGAAAAGCAGGCTTATTCACCTCTTGTTGATAAAGTGTGGTTTTCGTTGCTGGCAAAGGTCCTCCCTGCCCGGTGGTAGATGGGCGAGCCTGGCCCAGCATGGCCATTGCTCAGTGGAGGGCTAAAAAGGCTATGACTGTGGCTACTGCCAGCTGGGTAACAGCCTGAACCGTCTGAACCAGACAGAGGGTGCTTCACAGCTTGGTGCAACAGAGAGTCAGCCTGCCCTAAGTTAGGATGGGAAGGAAACCCACCTATAGGGAAATTACTGAATGAATTGAGTGTGTTCTGCTCTTTCTGCAAGTCAGATGCATTGTGGGGCATGAAGTTCTCCAGGTAGGATTTGAGGCCAGGCTGGTGCAGAGATGACGGCTGGGGGGAAGGCTGCTGCTGCTGCTGCTGCTGCTGCTTCATCAGGGAGGGGTCCAGGTGGCGCGGGGGCGGCATCATCTGGTGAGCAGTGCCTAGAGGGCGACCCTGCGACGCGGAGCACAAGGAAGGCGCGGTGAGAGAGCCATCAAGAGCGAACGAGCATCATTGTGAGACAATGGGCTAGATAGAGAAAGTTTCCATCAATGGGGAGGAAAATCAAAGTCAGTTGTAAATAAAGATACATACAGAAGAGTAAAAATGACTATTCTTTTCATTATATACACATCCACTCTGTTGAACACACAAGGTGATTGAGCAAGTGCAGACAGCCTCCAACAAGCTATGCATCTTTCAAGACAGGAGGCTCAGCACCCAACTGAGCTGTTATGGCCCTTAGTGACACTGCTGGGGCTGGGGAAGCAGGAGCAGGGAGTGGTTTGGCCAACAAACCCTAACTCCACCCCCTGCGGCTGACACTGAGCCAAGCATGCTGCTCGGAGAAACTTAGTCACAGCCTGCCAGTGACATGACCCCTGAAGAATGTGAAACAGTCCAACAAATCCTCCTCTCATTCCTAACCTTTCTCATGTTCTTAGAGCTTTCCATAACTACGGCTCAAGTTGGGGGAAAAAA